CTAGTGAAAGAGTGAGGAGGGGTGACTAGTGACAGAGTGTGGAGGGGTGACTAGTGACACAGTGAAGGGGTGACTAGTGACACAGTGGGGGGGTGACTAGTGACAGTGAGGGGGGTGACTAGTGACAGTGGGTGACTAGTGACAGTGGGGGGGTGATTAGTGACAGTGAAGGGGGTGACTAACCCCTTAACCCTGACCTTAACAGAATGCATCCACCTAGTGGACACTAGCAGCCAACCAAAAAACTAAATCTGGAAAGTGACATGGGATCAATGGGACGAGTTCTTTAAACCCATAATTAAGACCATAAACCCATAACTAACTACTTCTCAGAAGCCTCGACAGCTGTGCCCATAGCGAAAGAACCATGTATGATGATTGAATGGAGCCTGTGTAATAACGCTCACACCATATCTCTCCTCCCACAATAAGCATTTCCCACCAAACCCTGATGGAGACTAACATCACACACGTGCGACATGCCCTGAGATCGAACTACATAGCAAGGGCAACTAGCTGATCATGGCAAGATCACACTACTCATTCTAGGCACTACTCCAAATTCTAAACTCTCTCCCCTCCTAACTACCACCCTCCTCCTCATTCTCTTCACCTTCTAAACCCACAATCATAAAATGTAAGTGTCCACAACAGTGTACTGAAACCTTGAAATATATTAACACTTTATATGATATAGACATTGAGATTGCTCAATGTATGTAAATGCCTTAATTACTTGGTGTCACGTATTCAGCCTCACCTTATGGTCTTAGCAATGGAAATTGCCTTCCTAGCAGTGATGGAGGTGCTGTTCAGCGGGCCGGCGCCGGTATGCCTGATTTCTGCGGCATATCTGTGGACACTGGCCGCTGCGGATCTACAGCATATTTAGCCCCACGTCCGCCCACGGTAATGTCAACGTGCATGTGACGTCAAGTAATAGACCCGCACGCAGGTTTTGGGCTCAAAATCCGATTATGGCCAATCGGATCTGCAAGAAGGTTATTTAAACTAATTTCTCCTTTCACTCATTGCCCTGTCATGGTTTCCCTTAGTCGGTTATCTGAGAGAGTGTTCCTGAGCGTTAATTTGTGGTTATTGACTTTGGCTTCGTTTTGACTTCCCTGTATTCTGGTATCCTTGACTTTCAGCTTTCCATCATCGTTGTGTCTCATTCTGTGTCCCTGACCTCGGCAAGTATTCTGAGTATTCTCTGGTACGTTAAGACTGGCCATTCTAAGACCCAGTAAGATGCTACCTTTAGTCCTAGGTGTGATACAATTCTGGGTGCTGGATCAACTAGTATCCTGACACTTGGATACCAATGTCGACATGTTGTTATGTTATTGCATATGATTGTGCAGCAAAAATTCATAATTGTTTTTTAAAAAATAGGTGCTCCCTGGCTGCCCAGGTCCCCCATTCACCTAAAACACTCAGCCGGTCAGGCGCAGCTGCTCAGTCCAGGTACCCCATTCCCCATGCGCACTCATTTGGCACTCAGGGAGCCTGTGGAATGTTAAAATTAAATAGGTACTTTGAGAAGCTGCTCCGAGAGGCCCTGTTGAGGCACCTACGGTGACAAACGGAGGAAGTGGCTCGGAAGGGCTTACACAAGCCGAAAGCATGGACCGGATGCGGGTCCTTCCTATACCCCAGTCCGAACAGGGATCTGCACCTGGGCACTGGTCTACACGCGGGAAGTGACATCCAGCTGGACGGGCCTCAAAATCAGCACATGGGGGCACTGACAGGTGAGTCTGTGGCAATGGGGACCCTCCAAACCAAGAAATTGTGATATCAGCTACTGAGCTAAGAGTGGGCTAAGGGGAATATCTTGCCAGGGTTGCAACAAGTTGAACACTCACTAGGTAGGGCGCAGCTCCTCAATCAGTGCTCGGTACAAGGTAAATATGGTACATGCCGTAAATATCAAAAGTAAAGTGCACAGGTGGGAGAGCTAGAGCTGCAGCTACACTGCAGTTACATTACATATACCAGTGCTTTGAATATTTAATAAAATATCAAAGTCGTTCTGTTTGATGTTTATTTATATTATTTCTTAATTTTGGGCTCAAAAAATAGGGGTAATTTTATACATGGGGCATCTTATACATGTAAAAATACAGTACACTCCTGCATTAACATTCAACATGAATACACCCTTACATTCACACATCAACATTTCATACATATTCACTCCTGCTTTTACAAACATCTACTCTACTCACTCATAGAACAATGCAGTTACACATTTACACATTTACACTACATGTAAGTAAACACGTCTGCATTTTATACTTTTTGGCACTACACAAATTGTACCGTAGTATTTACACACATCAACATTACATACACATACATTCCTAATTTGACACATAGAATGATAACAATGGCGGAACTACCATGGTCGCAGGTGTTGTAGGTGCATCTGGGCCCATCACTCCAGGGGGTCCGGCTGCCCTGTAGACCCCTCCTGATGCATCTTTTGCAGTGGCAGAACTACCAGGGTCACAACTGTTGCTATTGCAACTGGGCCATAGAGGCCTGCCTGTTAAGGGGTGCCCTTGCCAGCCTGAGGGCACCCATTACTGTTATTTTTGTATATTGCCGATTCAGAAGTGTACTTAAGAATTATTATGTTACTGATAGTTTGTCCTACTCAGTCCCAGTCCAGTCCTTCTCCTGCTTGGTCCACCCTGCCCAGTCTAATTCGTTGTATGCTTGTCTGTGCCTGTTTGTGTATGCCTGTCTGTTAATGGCTGTGTCTGTATCTAGACCTGCATCTGTGTGTACCTGTCAATGGCTGTATCCAGTCAGTGTGCCTGTGTTTGCCTGTATATACCTGTGTGTGCCTTCTTGTGTAAATCTCTGTCACTGTATGTGACTACCTGGGTGTGTTTGCACCTGTGTCTGTTTTGTAATTATAATTTATTATTATTACACACACAACCCCTACACAATTACACTCAGCCAACCGCAACACACACTCACTTTCAGCCAGACCCACATATACACACAATCACTCTCAGCTAACTCCACACATAAATATCATCCTCCATTAAGCACCTTAATCACACTCAGCCAAGTCCCACGCATAATCATACTCAACCCTTACCAGGGGAGGGCTGGCAGCCTTAAGCCTGGGGGGGCAAATCAGGTCAAGAGGCCCAATGCACCAAAGGGAGAGTAAAAACACTTTTCCCATATGATTGAAAGGGGGGCAGTCACCTAAACAGACATTCAATGACAGGCACACACACACTTGCTGATTTGACACACACTAAAAAACACACACTGACAGGCACACAGACACACACAGAAAGGCACATTGTTACGGGCATACTGACTCAGACAGACAGACATACTGACACACACACACACTCGCATACTGGCTGACACACACACAGACGAACTGGCACACACATAGACAGACATACTGACACAGACAGACAGACATACTGACACACACACACACAGACATACTGGCGCACACACACACACACACAGACATACTGACACACACAGAGACATACTGACACACACAAACATACTCATACACACACATACACCCAAACTTTACACTTTTAAAACCAGTAGACAGGGGCTGAGTAAATGGACAGGGCTGTAGTTGAGAGTATAAGCTGTAATTGGGGGTTTAGGAAATGTAGAAGGGAGAGAAAGGGGCTGAAGTAGGTTGATGGCTACAATTTGGGACAGGGGCTGTGGTGTGGGTGATATGGCTTGCAATTGGGGGAGAGGAGCTGTAGTGGGGATGTTATGGGCTGTAGTGGGGGGCATGGGTCTGAGGAAGGGGGCAGGAGCTGAGAGGGGGGAAAGGAGCAGGGAAAGGGTGGGATAGTGGCTGAGGGGGGGCATGGGCTGAGGAAGAGGGATAGGGGCTGAAGAAGGGGGTAGGGGCTGAAGAAGGGGACAGGAGCTGAGGAAAGGGACAGGGGCTGGGCAAAAGAGGACAGGGGCTGAGGAAGGGGACAGAGCTGAAGAAAGGGAAAGGGACAGGGGCTGAGCAAGGGGACAGAGGCTGAGCAAGGGGACAAGGCCTGAGGAGGGGACAAGGGCTGACTAAGGGGACAGGGGCTGAGGTGGGGGGACAGGGGCTGACTAAGGGAACAGGGCTGAGGAGGGGGGACAGGAGCTGTCTGAGGGGACAGGGCTGAGGAGGGGGGGCAGGGGCTGACTAAGGGGACAGGGCTGAGGAGGGGGGGGCATCGGCTGACTAAGGGAACAGGGCTGAGGAGGGGAATAAAAAAAAAAAACTAAAGTGTATTTCCCCCACTCCCTGAGTATTACCTTAGGCCAGGGAGGGGTGGGCAGCAGGGAGCAGGAAGCAGGAGCAGTCAGTGAAGTCGGCCTCTCCTGATGATGTCAGGCGGAGGGGGCGTGACTTCCTCTGCTCTTCTCCCAGACTCC